CTCGTTTGGCTCGCTGTTAAGACGGTATGGGTTAAGCTGATATATTTATGGTTCGCTAAAAAACGGGTCGAGTTGGGTTGGGCTAAATTTTTTTCAGATCAGAACGGGCCGAGTTGGGCTGGGTCGGGCCAGCCCGTTTTACATCCCTAGTTTTGGTTAAAACAACAAGGAGAGAGAGAGAAGAGAGAGTGCGCTGAGAGGAAGATTGGAGGCGGAACTCGACGGGATTCAGGTTGGAATCGGTGGTGGAGCTCAGGTAGTGTCCTTCTAACCTTGGTTTATGCGTTTTCTCGGTTGTTCTTTCTCGTTCTTGTACTTCGTCGAACCACGGGTTTGTCGTGGTCGTCGGAATCGTTTCAGACCGGTGGTTCTTAGTGTGTTGTCGGTGCCGCCCGGACGAGATGTTTGCATCACTACTTCATGGTCTGATTTGGTGGCATACTCGCCATGTATATACGCGCTTTGAGCAGTCCCTAATGTTCCTCTGTTGGCAGAATCTTCTCACGAGAAGTCTTAGGTATGATGTTTGCCAGCCGTCCTTCCTCCGATCTGTGATTGAGAACAGCGAATGGCTGCGGCTTAAGATGGGATGTAATATCCAACGTTTTTCCTTCGTACGACCTTTTCGTTTGATCAGAATTTTTCGGAACTAAATTGAACCTAACCGAATCGAATTTCTAAAAACCTTGAAAATTGAAAATTTGTTAAAAAAATCTAAAATTTTCTTAATACAAATCGAATCGAACCAAAACCAAATATGAAATAATAACTAATTAATATATATATTTTTTTAAATCGAAAGAACCGAACCCAAATAGCTAGCTGATGTGTAGACTTGATTAACTTAGGCGTACATTTGCATTGGTGTCCGTCCAAGTCTTCAAGTTGCCGCACATTTGTTTAAAATCTTCAAATGTATTATTTTATCAACAGATAATAATTGAATAAAATAATAAATTATAGATAATATAATTAGATTCAAACTTTATATCGCATTCTTATAGCAATTTCGTCGGTCGGAGCTCACAAAAGATAACATACACAACTATAAAACATAACCAAAGTACAAAAAGTGCAAGTAATTGAAGATGTGACTCGGAGAGACTTGGAGTTGGGTTCTCTTCACTTTAAAGTTACTTTAGATTTTTGGTGCATAAGTAAATATGTGGAATATATATTAGAGTATGATATATTTATGCATATTCCATTTTTCTTGCGTATATATAAGTTGTTTCAATTACTTTGATTAAAATAAAAAAGGCTAGTAACTAAGATTATTATTATTATTATTTTAAAGTTGGAATATAAATCTTCCATATTTTAAAATCGATATATCATTTTGGATGAAATAAACTAATAAATGAAAATAACATTTTAAATTTTTAATACAAAAAATATGCAAACGAATTACGAATTTGTTAGTAAAAACGCAGGAAAACTACATGCTTATATCATCAAAATATAGAAAATATCGAGTCATTGTTCTCATTTCGTGTAAAAAGTGTTCTTTTGTTAGTGGAGAATATATTCATCCAATTCAATGTGAAGACAAAAATAAATTTAGACTCCCAAAAATATCCATAGGAAATCAAACACAAGATCTTAATCATTGTAATATAACAAACATCATAAAAAGATATAACTATTACAATATTAATATTCTTTAACATCATCAAATGATGTTACAACAAAAGTAGAAATACATCAAACATAAAAATTATTGAAAAACTAAATTAAAATAAAATTTTAAAAATTAATAATTTTAAATAAAATAAATTCAAATACATTCGAAACTGAATATATATATATATATGATGTTAAATGGATGAGATTTTGGAGGTTATCCATTTATAGCATGATTTTATATTTTTTTTATCATAATTTCTTTATAAAATATTTTCTAATCTAAAAAATAAAATTTATATTTAAAATATGTTCTTCAAATTTTAGTATTAAAATGATATATTGTTGTTATATTAAATATTTATAAAAAATTTAATATTAAAAAATCAAATATTTAAAACTAAAAACTAATAAAAAAATCTAAAACCTAAAACTAAAAAACCCCAAAAAAATATCTAGCCTATATTACAAAAGAGAATGACGAAAACATGAGTGGACGGAAGGAGATATTTTCTGTTCAACAAAAATATCTGGAGCGCCCATCCCGTCAAATTTACTTGCCACGTGTAAAAGCGGCGACAACTGTGGTCGAGGCCTCTCTTAAATATTCTCTCCTCCCTTCCCTCTCTCGATATTTTTTCTCTCTCCGTCTCTTTCGCTGTTCACAAGTCAGAGACAATGGTTCCCGGATACAGACGAAGCTTTAGCCGGGCGAGCTTCGACTCGTCCGAGTTGACTTGGAGCGAGTCCGCCGAGTTTTCTTCGGAGGAAGAAGAGACGACGTCGTCCATGGTATGGATTTCATCTTCTGATTCGTTTTTCTTGCATTCCTCCGTGAAATCAGCGGTTTTCGTGATTGCGATCTGAAATTTTCCGATTTTCGCTTGTTATCTTCCGTTAATGGAGATGCTCTGTTTTCTAGGCTCTTTAGAATTATTTGCTCTGCGGAATGTATGTTCTTAAAAGCTTATAACTGTAGGTGCTCGACCACCAGATTTTCTGTGTACGAAGAAGCTCGTTGATTTCTGTTTGGTCGATTTTCTCGGATCATTCTTAGTTAAAATACGACGTAAATTGATCCTTCATCATTAAACTTGGCTAATCCCTTTGATCCTGGATTAGGCTCTCGTGGTGTTATTAGATTATCAGGAGAATCTCTCTATAAATGTCTTTATGTATTTCTTTCCAATTTGGGTCCATCTCGGTGATTCAATGCAGTTTCAATTGTAGTCGGCGTGGATAAAAAAAATTATCTATTCTTATCGGATATGTAAGATAATTGATCAATTGAATAATTTTTTCAATTTTATTTTTATTTCGTTGAATGTTTATATTATTATTAGGGATAATTCCATTACCCTATACTTTTTTTCTCGTCGCAATTTAAACCCTATACTTTTTTTTTATCCAAAAAAACATTGTACTTTTAAAAATTGACAATTAAAACTCTATACTTTAAAAAATTGGCAAATAAAACCCTGAACGAAAAAATATATTATTTAATGCTGACATGGCATCCTAGTCATCTGCCACATCATCAATCCCTAATATTTAATAATATTAATTAATATAAAATAAAAATAAAATAATAAAAATAAAAATAAAATTTTAAAAATTATACACATACATATATAATGAAATGATATACATATATACACATATATAAACATATTTATATATATACACATATATATATACTACATATATATATATACTACATATATATATATATATGTTTTATATGCATATGTCGTATATGTATTTTTTTCTAAAAATCATGCATATGTCACATATATATATGATTTTTAGAAAAGCATGTATATATCACACATACATATAAAACATATTTATATATACGTATATATATGTATGTATTATATAGATATATATATAAATATGTTTTATGTATGTGTGATATATGATTTTTTTTCCTAAAAATATACATATATATATAATGTTTTTTAGGTGTATATATAAATATATTTATATATGTATATAATTTTAAAATTTTTATAAACATGTTTATATATGTGTATAATTTTATGAATATATATAATTTTTAAAATTTTATTTTTATTATTTTATTTTTATTTTATATTAATTAATATTATTAAATATTAGGGATTGATGATGTGGCAGATGACTAGGATACCATGTCAGCATTAAATAATATTGTTTTTCGTTCAGGGTTTTATTTGCTAATTTTTAAAAGTATAGAGTTTTAATTGCCAATTTTTAAAAGTACAATGTTTTTTTGGATCAAAAAAAAGTACAGGGTTTAAATTGAGACGAGAGAAAAGTACAGGGTTTTAAATGGAATTATCCCTTATTATTATTATTATTATTATTTATTATCATTATTATTATTATCACAAAAAATATTTTATTTAATAAAAAAATTCGAAGTCCAGTCCGAACCCGTCCGAAGCCTTTTAGAATCGGGTTCCGGGCCATCTATGATAGACCCGAAAAATAAATGGATGGGCCGGCCCGACCCGAAAAAATATAGACCTGAATTGAACCCGGTCTGGCCCCCCCAATTTACACCCCTGCTGGTAGTTTACCTCAACTTTATCACCAGTATTAAGTTTTTTCATAATTATGAGTTAAAATGTTTCAATCTACAGAGCGATTATCTTGTGAATGTGAGATAACTCTTCATGTTCATGAACTTCATGTACAATTTACTGCATATGTGATCAAGCAATGAAACCAAGACACCAAATGCCCATATGGTTACCATTATTTCTTTATAATTTCTGCAAAATGCTTGTTTTATTAGATACCTTTTGTGACATTGGTGACATGCGTTTGAGATTTGAATGAGTGTTCTTACATGTTGCAGTACTCTGCTGGAAAAGAGAAGGGTTCAACAGAATGGACCGATGAGAAGCACAGTTTGTATCTTAAATCCATGGAGGCCTCGTTCGTACATCATTTGTATAATTCCCTCGGAAATCTTGGTTCGCATTGTAACGAGAAGAATGCGATAGGCATAGGATCTTCCAGACGACCTTGCCGCGGTGGAAATCCTTCTCAAGATCAGGTCTGAAACAAATAGATACTCTTTTACATGGTGTCTGATCGCTTGTTAGATCTTGTGGTTTTGGCTTATTTTAGAATTCTGTGTTTATCGCCATTCTTTCTCGTATCGTCCCTTGTTCAAGGTTCATCGTGCCGGTTTCTGGCAGAGGATGGATGTTAACCAATCCGAGTATTGCTTTAACGGAAGTGACCCTTGTCACTTCAGACCTTTAGCAGAAGGCCAAAGCCTGGATTGGCCTATGCTCGAAGGTAGTTCTGTTCCCGAAAGCCGAGTGGTCTGCCCAAATGGGAAGAAGGATATAGTCATATGCAGTTCTGGATCAGCTTCTACTTCGAAGCAGGTCAGTTCGGGTCACTACCGGGGCCAAATCAACGATAGAGAAGGTAGCTATTGCTTCTACACGTGTGTTTTTTTTTTTTGTAATGGTTATTGAAAAACTGAAATTTCGGAAATGTTGTACGCTCTTTCCTGATGGGTTTAAGCAGAAGTATCAGACCAGAACTTTGTTGACGAAGAAGATAACGACAAAGAAAAACCGAGCACCTCAAAGAAGATGAAGATAGGAATAATCGAATCTTCGAGTAATGATCAGGTAAATAACGTGTAACATCATTGCTCAATGCCATGATTGTGCGTGTGTGTGTATATACATACATACGCGAAGCTTGATTCCTGGGTTTTTCTATCTCCTCTTTCCTCGTCTAGGTCGTTCCATACGGAAAAGCTCCGAGAAACTCGATAAACACGTGAAAAAGCCTCGTATCCGCGATGGTAATGGAGCCGAGGCAAGGACATCTTTGTATGTAAATAATTTATTTTTTTTTACGCAAAGTGCCCAACTGCAATGTCCCTCTAGGCGAATTTCTCGGTTACATATGAACCCTAGGGTTCGAATTCAAATCGTTTACGATTACATGTTATTTGGTTCCCAAATAAAGGCTGTCTTAACGAATCCTAACGGAGCAATGAAGCAGCATATGATGGTTGAGAAGGCCAAGGAAGAACACAAAGATGGTTGAGATTACGCGTTGGTAATGTAGATGTTAGAATCAGAGTTTCGTATTTTGGTACAATTTATTTTTTTCTGGGAAAAATTATCATTCAAAAATAAAATATGATTTTAAGTTTTTCATAGATTAGCGTTTACTGTCGTTTAAAATATGTATTCTAAATTTAACATACATAAAATATCAAATAAAATTTGACAGGGAAAAATTATCATGCAAAATTTTAATACATCAAAAATTATTTTTCATAAATTAGCGGATAAACTAAGAATTGTGTATATATATTTTTTAATGAAAACACATAAAAAAGAACATTGGGAAATGTGCCATCCATCGCGCTGATCGATGACGTCATCTCCCCTCGTAGATTATTTAATTTAGTCTCCGTTTCTCCGGAGTCCGGAGCCAGAAGGAATTCATAGCTACAGTGTCTACGCAATTTCTTTGATTAATTTCGGAAAATGGCGAGTAAGCTGAAAACGGAAGCTATTATGGACATGATGAAGGATCATCTCTCCACCGACGCCGGCAAAGAACTCACAAACAAGATCGGACTCGTCTACCAAATCAACATCGCTCCCAAGGTTCTTCTTCCTTCTCTATGCTTGCTTGTTGTGTTCTGATCTGTTTGATTCTGTTTTTGGCTTGAATTTCAGAAATTAGGGTTCGATGAGGTTACTTTCATCGTCGATCTCAAGAAAGGCGAAGTCACCAAAGGTTTTGCTCCCCCCTCTCTCTCTCGTTTTTTTTCTTCTGGGTTTGTTTGTTCTTTGCCATTATTGTGTAGAATCCTCAGTTTGGTGTATGATCTCAGAAGTGAATAATGGCTGGGGAAGAGGACAATTTTTCGCATTCCTCCCTAATGTATTTGCACAACTCTTTGCCATTATTGTGTAGAATCCTCAGTTTGGTGTATGATCTCAGAAGTGAATAATGGCTGGGAAAGAGTACAATTTTCCGCATTCCTCCCTAATGTATTGGCACAACAAATTTTCCTGAATCGTATAATTTCTGGTTTGAATGTTGATATCAGAATGTTCTGATTGAATGTCATGAAATCCGGAAAATTGTCCAGCATGTCTTGTTCATATCAGTGGAAAGTCTGCTGTGAAGTTTTATACTCAAACTCATGATTCTGCTGTGGTTTCTTAAAGGTGTCCCCAAAAAAGTAAATCCATGGAAAAAAAGTTCCAAGCTTTTGGGGGAATTCAACGCCTTTCAGGAACCATTCTGGTTTCCTTTCACTGATGAATATTTATATATGTATTCTGCGGTAGGAAAATACGGAGGAGGAAAGGTCGATGCTACCTTTTCCTTTAAGGATGATGACTTTGTCAAGGTCGCAACTGGAAAGATGAATCCCCAGATTGCTTTCATCAGGTGCTTACCTCTATAAATCTTTCGATCTGTGACATATTTTTGTGTTTCAGTTCAGCGTTTTCGGCAGATTTTACTTCCTTTTGACTGTCTCTGGCTATAGGACTGAAGATATGTAGTGTGATTCGTGTTCTCTCATGTTTCTGAAATCAAAATCTCGAAAATCCATCGGACGGTTTTCGTTTATGACCTTAATCCGTTACGACAATGTGGCAGGGGGGCGATGAAGATCAAGGGCAGCCTCAGCGCCGCGCAGAAATTCACGCCAGACATCTTCCCGAAGCCGTCGAAGTTGTGAACAGAAAAAGATCAGGAACTTGGAAACCCTAGACATGGTTCAACGTTGCCTGAAAAGGGTGGAAGTTTATGAGTTTTGAAGCACACAAACAACAAGAACAAGGCTTTAGTTTTCAAACCCAATCTGGTGGATTTAAGAGTGATGGGGAATATACTTAGTAGACAATTCCAGAAATAATTGTTTTACAATTTTATTATTATTCTCTGTCGGAATAAAGATTCATGATCCTCTGCACTGAGGCATGGCTGCAACTACGGATGATCTCAAAATGAGTCCGATCGCTAGTTTGGGTTCAGTAAATTCAAATTTGAAGGAAAAAAGAGAGGTCAAACGATCCATATCGACGAGTTCTCGAGTCCACTCGGGAATCAGGATTTTTTACTTTTTAATATTTTTAAATATCATTTTATGATATTTCATATATTTTTTATAATCTCTTCCTAATCTTATTTTGAAATACTTAATTTATTATAATCTATTACATACATGATTAGCAAAATTTCAAAAAATTTTAATTAGTTCATAAATCGATGTTTGATTTACGAATCGATTCGTTTGGTTCATGATGTAAAACGAATGTCAAATATTTTTCGGTTCGCCAAAAAACGAATCGGGGCTAAATTGAATTTAAAAGTATTCGATCTTCGATACTCCATCCAATCCACGCTACAGAGACATGATATCGGGTATGGTAAGATATTCAATCGTCGGATACGAGCATGGATTTTATAGATCTTGAATGGATTGATCCCAAATTATAAAAATAAATGTTATTTAGAGATTGGTGTATTTATGAAATTGTTATTATTTTATAAAATGGCACCTATACAGTTTGATCGATCTCTCGCAAATGCCTCGAGCATTTTCACTCGTAGCCATTTGTGAAATTGTGATGGGAGTTAAGAAAACTAAACAGAACCGGTTGATTTCGGTTAATTTAATCCGGTTCAAAAGCTGGAATCGTTCGGCTCAACCGAACCGAAATACCATTTGGTTGATAGGTGAAAAAACGTCATCTGAAACGGACGATCCAGATGCAAGCACCTCTCGAATCCAACGGTTCACATCCTTTTCCAATTTGTCCTCTCTGTCCTTCGGATGACGAAGAAGAAGACACGGCCGTTGTTTTAGATGAACTGAAGGCCGCGCTGCTGAGGCGGAGGATTTCTTCTCCGACGACGCACCTCTGTTGAAAAATACAGCCTCCGCCGTGACACGTGGGCGATTCTCGCCGGAGAGAGTCGCCTGACGAGTGGCGGGGGGGGGGGG